ACATTTATCTAACAATTGAGCCATTTGACTACACAAGGATATGTGAGCAAAATAAGAATCCAATCATCCAATGTTGACTTCCTTGCAAAGTTTATGCCTTATTTTATGAAAATGTGTCACTAGAATATGATACTTATCATCGAATATTATTTAATTTACGATTTATTTCGATCGGAACGCACATGAGGTCCCGCGCCATTTTCGTCGACGATAAATATGATCGTGTTTCATGAAGGGATAAGGGGTTTCAATGGTCTTTCAAAGCAATAATTTGATGCAAAAATTTGTAGGAAATAATATAAAGCTGGTTCAAATGGCCATCAACCATTTAAAACACCGAAAATACTCACAACTCCGTCCCGACGACCACGCAGCACCGCGCACGCCACACTACTGGCACAATGCCAAAACTGCCGTCGCAGCAGAAATGTTTTTTTTTCTCGATTGCAATTGTGGAATTATTTATTAAACAGAAGATTATCTTTCCGAAAAACCAACTGATTTCATACACAGATGCATGGAAAATAAAAAAAAAATCCCGGTAAGTTTATTTGTATCGTTTTGTCGATTTTGACATGCTCCTAGTTTGCAGCCATATTTCGATATGTTCTACAGGGAGTTCAGAATTATTTCAGGACCAATCTTTTCCTCATTCATTTTCCCGTCGATCATGAAATTTTTAGAGCGGAACAATTAGTTTCCAGGCGGTCCGAGCGGTTTTCGTGAGAAGGGTGCAAAAATCGGCGTCATTTTTAGAGCCTCGACACCAGCTCAACACAGGACCCTATGGGAGACGGTGAAGTAGCGGGAGCAATAAATAGAGCGCTCTAATTTTAGCTTATTTCCCTGGTGTGTCACCGACTGAGATAACCTCACAAGTTTCCCACAACAATCGCGGAAATGTACCTTATCTGAACTGCCAAGTATCAACATTATTGTACCATACCATAATAATATCATAACGCTCGAAAATAATATTCATCGCCTTAAACTCAACAGCGTCGACGCTCAACGCCCACGTTCCGTTGGTGACAAGCACGCACTGGCGGCTTCATGTCACTTCATGAACTCGACAAACCCGCGTTGCTAAGCAACCGAAACAGCTGATGCGTACTCTTACCCGCCCTTACCCTACCGTCGCACAGTGGGCCGATATGCCATTCTAGCGCGACAGGGCCTGAATCTTCGAACGGAACCCTTGGTTTTTCGCGAGTAATTCGCGTAAAAAGCGGCCGATCGCAACGAAACTTTCAGTACCCTCGCGATAACTACTTTTACAGCTAACCTGAAAATTTAATGACCCTGACCTTAATGATCTTTGACCTGTGACCTTCTTTCGAGACCATGTTAAGCCGGAATCGCGATTCAGCGTATGTCGGCTCGCATTAGCCGCTGGTTTGCAGTCTTTTCTTGGTTTAAAGCGTTCAAACATGGGATATTATGTTGCTCCCATGCATTAGGGTGGGTGTCAAGGTCACCAGAAGGTCAGGTAAGGTCATTGGCCTTTGATGACCTTGGTTCACTTTTTCGAGTTTTACATGTTTCTAGGCTAGTTTTTGGGGCTGAATTCGAATCTAGCAACCATTTGAACATTTACTATGTAGTTTTGGTGCCTTCGTGACATGTTACAAAGCTGTCAGAGGCGGTTGCCACCTACTGCAAATACCCGGCAAAACCCTTACTGGTTGACCTGACCTGACCTGACCCGACCTGACCTAAATGTATGAAGACATCATCTATGATCGTAACTAACATTATATTCGTGATCAGCACCCAAAAAACCCATAGCAGCCACCCTTTACGACGTTCTAACAGGTCCCGATTTTCCCGACTTTTGGGTCATTGACCTGACCTGGAAGGTCAACCGATGACCTAGGACCTTACAATTGGGTATCATCAGCTTCCTCTTGTCACGGGCAACACGCTCGTCTTTTCCGCGAAGCTCTAGCTCGATCAGGGGCGAAACGGCGGGGGGTCCAACGGACCCCTTCTATACGTTCGCGGCTGGAAAAACACCACTAGGGGCGAGGGTTAAGCCAAATCTGAGGGCTTATTTCAGAAAGACCGCTAAAAGAGCAATTGAATGCACTTTTCCGCGACGATGTAGCTCTATTGGCCCCCGAGGTAAGGGCCGCTTTTCGAGAAATGTTGATATATGCAACATTTTACCTTTGATGACCTCTGGTGACGTGACCTTTGACCTGACCTAGAAATGACTAATTACTCCATCTGGAATTTCGGGCGCTCTTTCGAATGCCACTTACTACGTGTCGCTATGTGGCCCAAGAGCCGAGTTAGAAGGGGAGTGTTCAATCAACACCTCCCGGCCCGGCGCGTTTGACGCCGAGCACCGGTCCGGCGCGGGTTGATGTTTAGCTGCTACATCCAAAGTCGCAAAAAGTCGCAAAAAATGACTGTTGGATCTTGTAGTGCAATGAATCATTGACATGTAGCGAGATTTTCGAAGCGGTACTCTGCGGTACTTTTTTTAAAAGTCTATTTGTGTGTTACATCAATTATGTGAAATTATATTTTCGTCTTTAAATCTTTGCGGTACAAATACATCATAACCAAGTAAGAGTTCGCCATTTTCATGTGGTTATGTGTGTTCTGCAGACCTGGAGCTATCGTTTGATGTATATAAATGTGGAATTCCTCCTCAAATTGTGATTGTTTTCGTGGATCAAAGATACGCTGTCGAAGAGTGCGGGGGACGAGTTCGGTCCAAACGATTCCGAAGTTCGTGTTTAAGCTGAGTTTTCGCCATGAAATAGCAATTGCGTTGGAAAACAAAGACCACAGCAATGTAGTATGATCATTTTTGAACAAATTGGTATAGGTTTCATTGCACATCCACAAAGTTCGATTTTTTACCCATGTCGTGCTAGACCTGGCGATCGGCCCAGTGTGCGTCGGAAGCGCGCGCCGACAGCTGCGGCAGCTCGAGCGACAGCGATGGATGGGCCGCCGAGATGAGGAGTGGCCGACCGGGCGAACCCTCTCCGACCCCATCTACCCTCTCCCTCCCCCTCTGGCCGACCGAGCGCACCCTCTTCGACCCCCTCTCCCCCTCCGACCTCCTCTACCCTCTCATAACCCCCTCAACCTCTCCGGGTCCGCCCACCCAGGTGGAGCTGCCACTACCGCGACGTGCACACTGCACAAGTCAAGCGCGCATTGGCAAGAACCAGCTGAATCTCAGACAATATACGTGCTTATCTCAGTCAACCAATCGTTTGAGAAACGGAACGCAATAAGAAAGAAGAAATCCGTTATGAAAATAAAACAAGAACAGCAAAAGTGACTGCACTACGTGATAAAAAAATCCGGATGTCAACAGCCATACGTCATACTGCATTTTCGGCACTCTTAATTCGTTCGCCCAGAATCAGTGCACTCAAAATACCCGTTCACCTTAACCTTATTTTCATCCATCTCAGTGGTTCACTTCATGACGAAAAAACGGATGCCGGACAAGTAATGCAACACACCAGTCAAACCAGCCCATACCTGAGCGCGCACTGCAGTGACCCGCCGAGTGGGCCGGGCTGCGTTCACGTGGGGCATGCCTACTGCCTAACCTAGTGCCTTCCCGCCGCCCGGTCGGCCTGGGCGGGCCGCCCGGTGCGTTCACGTGGGGCAGGCTGCCTACTGCCTAACCTAGTGCCTATCCACCGTCCAGTCGGCCTGGGCGGGCCGCCCGGTGCGTTCACGTGGGGCAGGCTGCCTACACACCGCCTGGCGGGTATAAACAAACAGTCTCGAGAGCGGCGACCGGGCGGTTGGCCGGCAGGTCGGCCGGTGAGCCAGCAGACAGGTGTGTTCTACCGGCCCGCGCCGCCAACACCCCGTCAGAGACACCGTCCGTGCCGCACAGTCGCTGTTAGAGCAGAAACAGCCGGCCGAAACAGCAGGATGGGAGCATATCCGAGAGGGCATATGGTTGGTGGGTTCTGTGGAGGTCCATTGCATCGCATACAGCTGTTGAGTTTGTCGTAAAAGACGCAGTAGGACGGTAGCTTTGTTTTAATGGGTCAGTTTTACACCATGTGTGCAGTTGTATACCAGTAAAACGCCTTTTGGGCGAAGAACGAGCGAGCGAGATAGTGAGCCCTGCACGTGCGGAAGGGCGAGAGGGTGCTTCCAACGGGCTTGCGCAAAGCACCCTTCTAACTGGTCGCTAGCGGTGTGCCAAATTTGAACGCAATCGGCCCAGCCGTTCCTGAGATCTGGAAGCGGCATTCTGCACGTGCGCACGTGCAAACGGGCTCCAAAATGACTTTTGCACGGCACCCTACTAATTGGTCCCCAACCGTGTACCAAATTTGAGCGCAATCGGCCCAGCCGTTCTCGAGATCTGGAAACGCCCCCTGCACGTGCGCACGTGCAGTAGCACCCTAACCGTAACACATGGGAATGCATTGCCTGGTGGGTGCCTACCTGTATGCCAAGTTTCAGCGAAATCGCCCCAGTAATTACCGAGTTACTGAAATGGGAACAAATTTGGCACCTCTTATTGTTGTATTTTGCACGTGCACTGGGGGTGACCCACATGCATCGAGAGTATCCTATTTTGGGTAGAAGGGATGCTGCTGCCCTACAAAAATTACCGCAAGTCAATCACCCAAGCGGCTGCTGAGATATGAGCCTCTCAAAATCACTACTTTTGCAAAACAGCTTGAACACCCTTGACTTTTCACGTGGCACGTGCCACGACGGTCACTGAGATGTATCAAAAGTAGTCAATTACGGGGTAGAAGGGATGGGGCTACCCAACAAAAAAGACCGCAGGCCAATCGGTCCAGCGGTTGCTGAGATATAAGCCTCTCAAAAGCGTTACAGGCCGGGCCGGGCCGGGCCGGGCCGGGCCGCTCATACTGAGATTTTTCCGTTATATTGAAAAGACTCACTTCGCTCGCTGCGCTCGCTCGCTCGTAACCAGCTATATGCATGCGTGCGAGAGAGACATCACACGCGGCCGGGTTTCGCCGCTTCCTTACCCTGAGACGTTCTGTAGAGCAGAAACGGTGCCTGCAGTTGAAACTCCAGTTCCCCAGTCAGCGGCTGCAGCAGGTTACTTGTGTTCAGCCGGTTCAACACCATGAAACTGTGGTAAGGTGGACCCGTTCTGAAACAAAACCACACACAATCAGTGATACAGCGCCGCGGTAAAAGACGGTGGTAAGAGGAAAATTAGAACACAAACGCAGACACCATACCACTAACACAGCCGCTTCAGCACTACTGAGGCCGTGGACGACGGTCTTGCAACGGGGATCGATAGTCAGCTGATGGTGCCTGCGGTGACCCCGGCAAGCGGCACAGCCAGGCCCATGTCGCTGACTGTAAAATGGATTTATTACGGGCACAGTTGACTAGGAGAGAGGGAAGGGGGGGGGGGGGGGCGGCAACTGCGGAGGCTGACCACTTTGTAAGGTTGACTTCACAAGTGAACACTTTTTAATACGAGTTATGACGTCAGCTGGTTACAGCTAGATACCAACCACCTCTACAAGCGTCATGTAAAAACGTCATTTCCGGCAAAACCACTTTAAACAATACAATTCACGTCATAGGCCAGTTTCGCAGCACGCAAGACGGCGCCGTTAAAACGCACCGACTCTGCCGCATGACTCAAGCCGCAGACTGGGCACAAACTAGTCTCGATTACACTAAACGCGCTTCGTCCGCTGCTTCCAGGGACACACTGTTACTCTTCCGCCAGCTCAGACCGTTCCGCTCCACATAGAGCGACTCTGGACCAGACGAGAGCGACGGTAGATATAGCTTCCGATCCTAACATTTACACATGCGTGGGCCGGTCGCTGCACTGAGGCGGTTCCACGACCGCGCTCGTCCGCGGTTTGTGATTCTGCGTTGGCCAACTATAGAGCCGACTTCTAATGATCACGTCGGGCTAGTTCGGGGTGTCAGGGTGGGACGAGGCGGGGCAGGGCGTGGAAGGGAGGAGCAGGGGAGGGACAGGTCGCGTGCGACACCGCCCGCTCGTTCTCTGATGAGGTCTCAGCGGCGCCGCCTCGTCGGTACGACACGACGATCGTCCGCTGGGCGTCATCAGAGCGTCATCAGCGTCATCGCGGCGCCAGGCACCGCCACCGTCCGCCGTCCCAAACAGGACGCAGCACGGAGCCGCCCACAACAAACCTCCCGCGGCGGGAAGTTGATCGGACAGACTGACTGACCGCTGCGAGCGACCGGCGAGCCGCAGGAGAGAACCGCGGGCGGGCGAGGGTGACAGCAAATGATGCGGTAAAAAGAACGTCAAATGGATATAGATATTCGGAAATCTCGTTATTTGAGCATGACCACGGGCAGAATACATGTGATGGATTATTGAACAGCAATAAACGAACGTAAACAATGCAGAACTAGAAGTAATAGAAAAGAAATAAATATAGACAGATCTGACAAAGCGCGCACGAACAAAAGTCCCAGAACAGCATATATAGTCTCACCACACTACAGGTCTCCATATCCGAGCACCGCTCCCGTCCACACCACCCACCAGAGCCGTCGGGGCTGCATCTGTCCTCGAAACGGGCGCCGCCACCGCCATCGCCACCGCCGACCGCCGCCCACCGCCCGGCCTCGGCGGTGGCGGCTCGCGCGCGCCGCGCCGCTAGTCGGGCGCCGTGCGCTGCGTGAGAAGGTGCACCACCGATCGCGGAGCAGCGGCGAACGCGCGAACGAGCGAGCGAGCAAGCGAGCTACGAGTGAGGGCAGAGGTCCGGCGGTGTCCCAGTGCCAACGGCTAGAGGTCGTGTGCCAGGCCGGGAGCCAGTGAGGGGCGGCGCGCCCCTAGGGAGCACCCCGGCGGTGCACGGGGTCCCTCCGAGGGAGACCCCTCCGGATAGCTCCGGCAGCGGACGGCGCCCGCTTCGAGTGAGCGAAACTACACACCGACAACTCCGAGAACCAGAGGATAGCACCACAGCTGACGGCAGCGGAGACGTGAAGCTGTTCCAGGTAAGCGCCGGAGGGTTCAATTCTCACCCTCCGACCGGCACAGGAACCGCCCAACGGGGCGCGGCGGCGTCCCAGCGGACTGTGTTTATGTCGGAAACATATCCAACCAGAGAAACAGCGGCCGAATCTCGGCGCCGAGTCAGCTCCACTAGCAGACTTAACAGCTGTATCACACTGCGAACGCACGCCAATGAATGAACAAGGGGTATGACACAAACTTAAGGCGGGCATCACGCCAAACAAACCTACAACACCGTGACAAGGCACACACATTTTTCTTCGCCCTCAAACGCGGTGAGGGAGCTCTCATCGATCTCGTGCGAGTGACAGCGTTCGGAAACAGCGTACGGAACACAATGTAGGTCATGGAAGGTCGGACTGAATTAAGGCCACTTAGCGCTTACCACACCCCAATTCGAAGGATTAACGGATAGCCGTGATAAAGCACCAGCGACGTGCTATAAATAGCAGCCATACGAACGGGACACGAGCGAAAGATACGCGATGTCGATGGGATGTCGTATACATGTACGAGTATCACACCGTTAGAAAGTGTCGCCGTGTTTATCAGAAACGGATGTAATGTTGGTCATGTTCATCGTAAGCATTCCGGTGTGAAATAATGGAGACAAAACGACCGTAGGGAAGGTAAACAAGGCAACCGTTTACTAACGTGTGAAATTGCAGAGATGACATAATTTACTGGCGTTGGGCCGAAGACGAGAGGGTGTGAAGAAACGGCCGAGCAACTGGAAAAGCATTTACCAGTGCCTCACGAATATTTAAACATTGAACGAGCGAACCAAGAGCCCATTGGCAGCGCAGGTGATGTTGATGGGTTCAAGAAGAAAAAGTAGACCGCTAACGAATAATATAATATACGCCAACGAAAAATACGAACTATAATAGAAAAGCCGCTCTTTTGAGCGGCTATTCTAAAAGGAGCAAAGGAACATAATGACAGATCAGAAGGTCGTTTGTTAAAACAAACAAATGAACTGAATATGATTAAACATTTTTAACTCATCATTTATGGAGGCTCAAGGAAGCTTCGACTCCTACGGCCATTCCAAGCCCACTTGAGAGAAACAGCAATCGTTTATCCTCAGCTTCGTAAATGAAGTGGATCCGGGAATCAAGTGTAGTGATTCCGGGCCAATCCTATCGCATCAACACAAGCAAGACAGCTACAACTCGAGTTTCTGTCTCAAAGCCACCGCTTTAATCGCCACAGCTGCTGTGTGTACGACCGAGGACCTAATACCCGTACACACTGACCGACAGAAGTAGAACACACCACGCGACTCTGTCCGCATACGCAGCAGGTCAGGTGAGTGCTGATTCCTATCTCAAGGCTGTACAAACTACAGCACAAACTACGCGCTCGTAGCGACCCGCGGTGGATCAAAGCAGCGACGACAAACGCGTCTCCGAGCGCGACGATCGCTTCAGACCGTAGCCATTCGAGGCATTCCGAGCACGGCCGCTGCGCCACTTTCGCCGCCGCCGCTGCCCAGCTGATCACTGCGCCATGCGCCGTGTTCGTACTATGCCCTCTGGCCGTACCGCTCGCCAACTCGGGACGCTCCTATCCTGTAGGCCACGAGTCTTGAATCTACAATAAAATGGGGTCCTTAGTCTCCTAAAGGGAACAACAAAGCTATTACCAGAGGGTGTCAGAAAATTAGATATTGAAAGCTGCCATCGTAACGCCTCAGCCACTGGCTCTAGCCAACAGTGCCACGCTGAAGCCATAGTCGAATTAGCGGCGAAACATTACCGATGCAACGGATCCTGTGTCATAATGACGCGCTACTGACGCATTTTGAGACACCGAATAATAATGATGATTCGTTGGTGGTCCTAAGCCTTGCTGTTGTCCGCACAGTGTGTGGCAACTATCCGCAAACATGACGCTATGTAGCACTCGATAATTTTTCCACTCTTCTCAGGTCCGGTAATTCTGGAAACCAAAAACCGCCAAGAGGCGACGGTAACGTTAAACCAAACACGGTCCAGCTAGCGAAAGCCACCAAGGTCCAGACTCGCCGTAGGCCGTGTGACCACGTGACGTTGCGTCACCGCGTGTGCGTTTTCGACAGAGCGGCCGGCTGGGTGTAATCACTACATCTCCTGGGACCGGAGAATAGCTGCTCGGTGGGTGCGCAGAAGCGAGCGTCAGGGCTCGGCTCGGCTCGCCAGACGCCTACAGTGACACAGCACCAGTAGACTGACTAGGTCACCCAGCGACCTTCGAACAGTATCCAAGCTGATGCCCAGTCGCCTAGCGGAAACGGCTGTCTGTTTCCATAAGCCATAAGTTACTTTGGCTTCAGGCTGGTCAACACAGGCTGGCCGCCGCGCCAGCCTGACACAATCCAAAGGACAGAAGGCGAGATGCCGCATGGGCAGACCGTTCCACAACCGTCAGACAGAATGCATCCAGTCGTTCTAGGCTACGCTCTTATGCTACGATATGCCACGAATGCAACACAAGTGCCGTGCCGTTCATTCTCACCACGCCCCGCCGCGGCGCCGGCGTCGTCTCAGTACGAGCTCGCAACAGCCACCGGCCAAACTATGTCCTCTAACGCGACCCGGCGGCGCCGGTCCGATGGTCACCGCCACACTGCTGGCAGGCGGAGGCACGCCGGTGCACTGCCAGCACTGCACTGCCGCCGTCAGCGGTCACAGGGAGCAGGAACCGCAAGGCATACCAGGCACGGCGGTGGCCGGGAAACGCCGCCAGAATGGCCGAGGACAGCCGGCTGAGCGGCGAATGTAGGACTAATTAACAGGTCATATAGGCGGGGTTGGTGCCTCCTCAGGCACGTCCCTTGAGAGTTCCTTTGAGAGACCAACTGAGCAGCGTGGTGACGTGTTGGGAGATGGCCACGCCAGGTGTCCTAGATCAGCCAGAGAAACTACCAAACCATCCATCTTGGTGGCATTATGCAACTTCTTTGTAAAGCGTGGTCAATTAGCAGCATCTTTAGGATACAAAAACTTCTGTTGGACAACAAACTGTCAAGGCGTCTTCTTTCAGAGGCCTCCAGAAAAAGTAAAGATGCAGATCATCCTCCATAAAGCTGACTGGTCAGCTCTTTTCTTTTCCCTTGCATCCAAACCATGAGGATCATGTTTGGTTTCCAAGGGCGCCCAGACTTCGTTGGTCACCAGCGTCCCATCCCCGTTCCGCCCCGGTCAGGAGGGCGCGGTGCCGGCCATCGGGTTCCCGATCACTAACTGACAGATGAAGCCATCCAGTCGGAGGCCGATGACACGTGGATCTCTGCCATCCCGCCCGGTGCTAATCGGGGATCAGGTGTGCCGACGGTGGTGCCATCTGTGTGACAGAATCGGGACTACATCGGGCATGGAGTCTGCAAGGCACCGGGTATGGAGTCTACACGACCGCCCGCAGGGTGCCGAGGAGTATTGGTGGGAGCGGAATAGGTCAATGAATGGGAACTGTAAGAAGGGTAAAGTTAGGTGGCTTTTCTCTTTGAATAGAAGCGAGGAACGTTAAACGTGGAGCCGACGTCTTGGTTAAAAATGGCTACCAAAATGTTTCTTCCATTTTCAGTGCCTCTCAAGCCTCGAAATTTTTGTACATCTATTCTCTCCAATTATTAAGGCTCTCCTTACTTCGCCCCGCTGCAGCGGGGCGAAGTAAGGAGGGTAAGTAAGGGCGGAGATAACAGCGCGCTGTTATCTCCGCCCTCTAGCTGGTAATCACCCACCACGCACCGGTCATCTTCCCTCTTCCCCTCCACTCCCTCCCAAGAGTGCAGTTCAATGATCCGTGCCGCCTCCCCGCCTCCTGACGCCATCACCAGTCAGGCACACACGCCCGTCTTCCCTGGACGCACGCTCGACCGCCCCAAGCAGACAACACGCAGATCGCTCAGCAGGTCGCGATAAATATTCCCGCGAGGTGGCAGCACTATCACCCGTTCCGCCACGCTTCCCACAGCCCGTCCCCAGTGGCTTGGGTCAGCTATTTGGTTGGTATTCATGATCGTATACCAGCAAGGTCGTTCGCTAATGTAGAAATCGCCGTTCCGGTGGGTAGCGGCGGTGTTGGGACCGCTAGAGCGTTCTTACTGCCACCTACAGGGACGGAAGTAAACTAGCGTCGATGTATGCGTGCCTAAGGTGGGGCCGCTTGACGCAGACAGAGTACAGTCACGGATAACGATGCATATAACTGAGTGTTTTACACGGGAAAGAATAGAACTCATTTTGTTCTTTGATCAACATCGAACCAACCGTTTCATATTGAAACAGGAACGATCCGTTCATCCGACTGACAGTGGAATAAAATAGGTTGGATGGTGCCGTTACGGGTATTTTCCTTACCTTTTATAGACGAACAGCGCTCCTTGCATATCTGTCTTTTGCTGAAAAGAGAGCATGGAACAGATCAAAATGTGATCAGTGACTAATGGCATAAACAGTTTCAAGACTTCCGCGAAGGACACGCGACGAATCATTGAGCCTACGCAAATTATTCAATCATCCTGGCCAGTGGAGCATATATCCAACCATGTCCAAATTGTTTTAAACGTCGAGAGCAGTGAGGCATTATACAGGTCACAAAGTATCAGGCATGAATTTATGCCAGTCAAGGTTAGCACACTTATTCGTATGTTATAAATCCACTAAAACACAGCACAAGATATCAAAATTAGAGGACTTAAAACTTCTTCCCGTTCATCCTCACCAGACGCCTTTTCACGCCCAGCCGGCGTCTGAACTCACCCACTCGCTCGTCTCTGACGAGTACTCGTACACTGCCACCTGGGTGGCACTGTCCACAATATCCTCCACGTACGGATCGTGACGGCGCACTGCCGTCAGGTTCATCTGCTGAGAGTTCACCCGGTCTGCCATACTTCTGTCTGCCGGCAAAAGAATGGAGTGGGTGTGAGCGGTAGGTGTTGAGGGGGCTCTGGACTCTGGTAAGGGCTGTGTGGAGGTTACTTGGCCAGACATAGCCGACAGCAGGTTAAACAGTAGTACCAATCGCCAATCGACGTGGCAGCGTGGGGCTGGGAGAGTCACAGTTTCCGATCGCATTACTGACCAAACCGAATTCACTCCCAATCTGAGAGCGAGTCTCCCAGCTTGGGGGGGGGGGTGAAAATGGTTTGGTTCAGAAAGACAGCCAGAAGTCTGAAAAGTCCCATTCTCACCAATCTGATTACTTTTGAAAGACTAAATGGACACTTGCCCAATGGATGATACGACAGACATTTAAATTTGGTTCATGATGATGATGATGAATTGGGGAGGTGGTTAGGACAATGTTGAATGTGAGAGTGATCCAATTGTAGCAATCATAGTCCTATTCATCAGAGGTGGGTGGTGTGGTAGCCTTCCAGCAATGTACCTCACCTCACTTAATATGAGGGGTTAGATAGGTGTAAAGTAGTTGTGCCAGATAGGTGATAAGTAGGTACTGTGTAGGTGTAATGCCAGACAGGCGACAGCGAAGCATGGCAACAGGGTTGATGTGAAAGTCGGTGACAAATCTGCACCAGCTGCCTGCACTAACCAGACTAGAAATCCTCACCAGACTGCACCGAACAAGATCTGGATTCTGGAACCTATGCTACATAATCTGTAAATCTGAACTTGTGAAAAGACAAAATCAAAATACAAATTAAATCACAGTGAATACCACTGACTACTGAGGGCCACAAAACTCCAAGCAAAATGTACACCACACCAATTTGGTTATAATCGCACCAACAGATGTATATCTGCATCACTTTGCACACTGGGGGCAAGCTCCACCCTGTGCTGACTGCTGACATGATATTGTGGAGATTGCCGTACTGATACCTTCCTTCAAAAATGTTGCCACCTCATGGCACTGCAGATGCACGGTACCTTCAAATGTGGTGGAGGCTCCATCTACAAACATGTTCAAGAACAGGCTAGGCCAACACAGGGCTGCTGAACCTGCTTCCTCACACCACAACTGATAACATTTCCAAGTCCGGCTCGATGTGAGCACTGAATAGACCTTGTCTACTACAGCTCACTACCATTCAACTTCAACTTCAACTACCAGCATAAGCTAAGAACTGTCATACTTTAAGTTAAGTCAGACACTACAGCTTTGATCATTATTACAAGCGAGCTCATTACAACGAGAAGCCCATTATTACAAGAAGGGATGAGCTGCCTGTCCAATGTATAGGAAATATATTAGTATGAGGGCCCGATCCCATCCGACCTGGCCTGAAATGCTTTTGAGAGGTTTATATCTCAGCAACCACTGTGCCGATTGACCAGCGGTCATTTTTGTTGGGAAGCTCCATCTCTTCCACCCAGTAATTGACTAAGATTGACTAAAGTAGGTACCTAACTGACTAAAAAATGAGCAATGGGAGTTGGGAGGGGTCACCAACCACCTGCATATTGATATTGAGTTACATTTTCCCATGCAAAACTTAACATCAAAGCATTATGACAGTAGCTGTGTCACATTTACCTACAGGAGCCAGAACTTAACAAAGTTATAGTGAATTTGCACTTTGCAGTCCTTTGACAATGAGGCTGGAGTGTGGGGTAGGAGCAAAATGAGAATGTGAACTGACAAATCAAAATAGTTGCATAATGCATTCCGTAAGGGGGATCAGGGAGGACTTTAGTATAGAGTGGTGACCGCACCACCCAGAATGATTGTCGCCTACGGGCGGGCTACGGCCACCGGTTATGCGCACTGCGGCTGGGCAGCGTGCATTCTCATACCAAGTGACCGCGCTTTTAAACCAGCTGCCTACTGCCTTTCTAGATTGAGATCTCGACCCGGGCTGTTTCAAGATAGCAGTGAAGGCATTTTTCTAATGGAGTGACGAGTGGCTGTGATTGATGATGGCATGGTTGCGCATGGCGTGTGTCATGTGTGTGTCTATGTGCGTGTCGAGCGTCTGGTATGGGTACTTAGGTGTGTGATTTGTGACATTTTTATTCCCATTTAACCCTGAGTAGTTATGCGTTTTTACTCGCCATGACTCAGACTAAGACACGGAATAGCCACGGTGTACTGTGGAGTTGTCTGCCTCCGTCAATACAATACAATACAATACAATACAGAGAAGTAAGAAGATAAAGGGGCACACCTGCAAAAGTAATGATGCCAAAATACACTATTCACTCAGCATAATTCGCTGAAACCAACTCAAACTCTTGAAAATTATTCACGCCGCACACCTGAAAAGCGCCGAATTATGCATTCGCGCCACTACTGTAAACATTATTCAGCTGTTGATTTTGTTTTCCTTTTTTGTACGAACCTAGCGGTGTTATTTTATAACACCGCTATTTTTTTTTTATTATAAGTCCAGACTTGTAAGCGATTCAAAAAAATTCAATCAATTCAATCACGACTCACTTGATGAAATGACCGATTCAATCATAACTCAATCAAACAGTCTTGATTTTCCAAGCGATTCAATCACGACTCATGGACCTTGTGGTTCAACTCAATCGCGACTCATCCCATTATCAGTGATTCAGGGAATGACTCAACTCATGATTCAACTCAACGCGCTTCAATCAACATGTTATTTATAATGTATACATATGTGATATCAATTTAAGAAATTTTTGGAAACTGATACCAAACTGATACCAACCAAATACACTGGGAGAATACCAAAAAACATAGAAAAGTACTAAGTCTATACCGAACTCAACAAAATGGTAGGTATTCATATAAATATGGTGTAAAGATGATAATTTAAGTACAGAATACACAAGTTCTGTTACAAATGAAGCTACCAGAGGACTTATAAATTTATTCATCTGCCTGACGCTTGCAAAAGGAAACATATGCAAAATTTCACAGAACACTACCACATATTATTATCAGCATCTTCGAAAAGGACCGAAATTTGCAAATCAATTGTGACACCCAAACTAAAATAGCTGGTGATCAGCCATATAAAAAAAATATTGATTGATACTTTATGAAGCAGTGGTAAAGCAGGTAAAGTAGGTATTACACAGGACTACCTAGACATTTTCGGCTCGCTACAAGTTTTGTTTACTAGGCATCAAGACTACGGATTATGGACACTTACGAAGCTATTCAATAGTTACATAATATAAATTTGAATGCTCTCATGATAAAACTACCTCAACCATCATATCTTCAAGGACAAAAAACAATTCCAAGCCCCCCACGACACCAAACTTCATACCAGGCGGAGCTTTGAAATGGCCTGGCTACACTATGCGTTTTCTGCGTGCGTTTTTTGCTTGTGCGAGTTTGCGTGATTTGCGTTATATGGTTCTAGAAAGAAACGATATTTCGTTTTTGTTGTATTTTTTTTTATAAAAAAAACTTTTAATTATCATAAAGGCTTTATTAAGTTTTATATAATAAACGCAAAACACGCAAACTCGCCAAAAACCCACGCAGAAAACGCATAGTGTAGCTAGGCCTTTATACGCATGCGCTAAGTGGGCAGCCATCTTTTATTCAGCAGCAGACCTATACAAAATGCATAGTTTATATTTTTAGATTCAATTAAGCATATTTATGTATGCGTGTAAGTGTAAAACATTTTTTTATTCTGTCCAATTTGTTCGAAAAAAAACTATCGAACAGTAAAAATATAAATTGGCTTGGCAATATGTATTCAGCCCAGCACTAGGTAGTTGTAGCTTTTTTTTTTTTTTTTTTTTTTTTTTTAGTGGCCCTAACTTACGTTACCGGCCTCGCGAGGAGGGCGGCGACCTAACTACGCCGCGCAAAACAAACCGGCCGTCCTAACTAAGACCGGTGGCCACTTTTACAGCAAGACAACATGGGAAAACCCATATCCATGTACTATGCCATGAATATGGGAAAAAACCCATGAATTTACGTTAAGACACATAAATGACAGTGAAACTTACCGGTAAATTGATGTTTGTGAAGGGAGGGAAGGAGGAAGTTTGTGAATGGTAAGGTTACGAGAGTTTGATGACAGGAATGGTTTGAAGAGTGGGGGATATGTCGCTGGGAGGGATGGGGTTTGTGAATGTTTAAGCGTCACGATGAAAGGAATGGTTTGGAGGATGGGGAATCTGTCGCTGCTGCAGTTGGCGGCCGACGGTTTTGTAGTACAACAACTACAACTACGACGGTAGTTGTAGCGTATATTGACGCAGCTGCGACATAAAAGCATATTCTGCGTGGTTTGCATGTGGCAAATATTGCGAGCAGTCTGGCAAATCTCAAATCCAAATTTAGCATCGAATGCAAAACTGTTAGCGGTCCTCAAAATTAGAAAGCGAAGAACATCAAACGGATAAAGATTGTTTGTTGAGCTCAAGCTATGAAAACAATAGTTTTTGGGTGATAGTGGAGGTGAAGTGAAGGTGGTTGAGTTTTTAATACCTAGTAGGGTATGTATCTACTTTTCGCCATTGTATCTTTACTTTTGTGTAATTGAGAGCCACGGCAATATGTGACATCTATTAATGCTCGTAAGCCAAGGTATTCCAATTATTTATGTTGATAGGTAAACGCTGATTCTGCTGGGAAATGTAAGGTGAGTTAGAAGACCATGGGTGAGATCAAGCAATTTATGACCCTTAGCCCAAAATCAAATCAGTAACTAAGGTTACCTACCAAATTATAATGTGAACATAAATTGTGTATTCATCAATATGCTTTGCCTGCTCACAAATGTCCTGATGAAACAGGGTATTAAAAATATAAAGATTAACATAATATCTTAAACATGTGTGTTGAGCAATGTGCGCCTGCTTAGGTACTGCTATTGTTAACTTGATATTTATAACACCGCTATTTGAACTCTTGAAAATTATTCACGCCGCACACCTGAAAAGCGCCGAATTATGCATTCGCGCCACTACTGTAAACATTATTCAGCTGTTGATTTTGTTTTCCTTTTTTGTACGAACCTAGCGGTGTTATTTTATAAAGACTTTTAATATCCATAGTTTTCTTAAAATTTTCATCACAAAAATTAACAAATCAAAAATAAATTGTTTCAAAAATAAACATACAAACAAAAAAAACAGAAAATTGTATGCAGCATCATTATGCACGCGCACGCTATGTACCACGTGATCAATATGTCAACAACCTATAGATCTAGATTTATCTCTTACCACCCACATGACGTCTACCTCGATGCTTGAAAAGTTGATTGTGTTGATTAGCGTTGGATTTGCAGGTCGTCTCACAGATTTCCACAAGACTTTTTCCTGTAAAAGTGCTATGCGGGCATAGCTAGGTGCATGGCAATTAGGCTGGTGCCTACTATGCCACTACTGCATTGAGCAAACAGACGTGGTCCAGGTCGTGAACTCTGCATAAAAGACTTTGAGAACTTTTGAAGCTTTGAGAAGAAATATTTCAGAACTTGAACTTCAACTTTTGGTGGACGATGTGGGGCTGAGTGCGGTAAATTGATGATGCTAGTAGATCTGATGGGATATTGCCCACCCAATAAGAGTCTCATGCCTGGATTTTCAGCGGGCATCTGATGCACATGCCACCCAATTTTCCCAGTTTCAAATTGATCTTGTCTTGGTAAACTGAATACCTCAGTTGTGTTAGTGGTGAAGTTACGGATACCTGATTGACATAATAATCATCCATTAGACTGGTTAGAGATGAAGACCTAAACCATTCAGTGTAAGCTGCAATATTCACATGAAGTCAAATCTACAAGTCTCCTAGACACCTGCAAAGTGCCTGTTCAACAATAGTCCATAACAATAAGATAAAGAAAAGAGAGCAGCCCTCCAGCTTCATCCTCCGCAGCTTCTGAAGAAGAGGTGGCTGCAATACCAATATGGACCATGACTTATCAGGTAGGTGAAGTGCACATAATGCAAATTTCCATCAACATGCCCATGCTGATGCAAACAAACTTTTGTTTGTTGCCCATCATCACATCATTACAATAAGCTTGTTAGCATCACTACCTACAACTACATTGGAACATATTCATCAGCATTTCTTCTTTTCAGCCCTGTCAGTATCAGTGATTATGGTGTCCTGACAATATTGTAACTGACAGAGATGCTTGTGTACTGAGAGGCTTACAAAGCAACAGTGGCTACTGTTCTAACTTATCAACATTGCATCAAATATGTTGTGAATTATAAGTACAGCTGTCATCAAGAGGTTTCCCCAGTGAGGTATAAACTATCTTGAAACTTCCTTCATTCTAACTGAGCTTTTTTCTTCAGCTGTCTGATCTGTCCTAAGGTTGGTGTTTTCTCAATTTTCATCTGCATAGACTAGGGAACCCTTAGTTTAGTTAAGAGCCTTTATTTTTATGTTGAAATGCACTTTTTTATTCTCTCCCCATTTCTATCAATGATTTAGGTGCCTGGTTGTCTCTCCTTTTACATTTTGTTCTGATGCACATTTTATTTCATAGGCTTTGAGGCATGCTAGCCTGAGTATTTAGATAAAGGCATTTAGTTGCAGTTTTTCAGTTGCATGGCCACTCCCAATCATCATTTACATAATTTTTGTTACATCTATAAATGCATGTCATTTCAAACCCAACATGAGTTTACCTATCCCTTGATTTTAAGAAATAAATGAAATGTTAAGGTCATGTTTCATCTAGGACAATCAGCAAAGCTGTATGCTTTTTGTTGTATAAGCCACTTGCCCAGGCCCCAGTGAGTCCGTAGGTACTCCCGTAAACTGACTCACTAAATGCCAATCGTCCATAGTAAAAAACGTGACCGGTCCTCAGCTGGCCGCCGCGCGGTGCTGCCGCCTAGCGGTCGTCTCGTGAACTGTGAGCCTGCCGTCTGCTGGCGACATCTGCTATCAAGTGCGCCAGTCAGGCCGGCATATTTGATGCGCTTCCAAGCGGGCCGGGCCGCGGTGCGGCCGGTACGAGCCGAGCCGAGGGCAGCAGCAGCGCGGCGGCCGCCGCCGCCCCCTCCTGAAATAGCGCGCCTGGGCGCCGGCCGCCGGCTGGCCCGGTGGATGGCCGGGCGCGGCGGTCAGCCGGCTCGTGTGTCGGGCCGACGGTGCGTCCGGGTCCGTCGGCGGTATTTTCAGAGAGGGCCGTCGTGCGAACCGCTGCGTGCCAGCCGCCGGGTGCCGACTGTCCCCGCGCCGGCACCGGCTGCAGTATTATGTTCTGGAGCGCGGCCAGAGACGGGCTGCAGTAACAGCGGCGGTGCCGTCTTCCACTGGCCGTCGCCAACCGCAGACCATTTCGGTGGCAAATGAGGACGTTCTTCTTAAGTCACAACAACTGTCCTCTCAGCTCTTAGTGCGATGGGTATTTGGGTCGAGTGTTCCAATAGCTTAGTGTTTTTATATATTCCGGAGCTTGATAACAGATTGTAGCTAGAAATGCCAGAGCAAGG